AAAGGCTATAAACATAGTAAGTTTAGTTCTAAGTTATTCAAAAAGTGATTTTTAAAAGTGACTTGTGAATTTTATATCTCTATCTGATATTATAATTACAAATAAGTCATGCAATTTAAAGATATTTTCAAAGAAAATCTTTGCAATATCAGATGTAGTTGCTGTGATTGTGATTAATATAAAGTATGCTCTTTTTGATAATTTATCTACAAAAACTACTATAGTATTATATTCAGACTTGATGGTTAGAAGTTATATTATAAAGTCCATAGTGATATGTTTTCATCTGTATTCTAAAATAACTAAAGACTATAATAATTCTGAGAGTTGTTAATTATTGCTTTTATTATGCTAATAGGATTCATAGCCAATAATATATTTGTAAATAATTTTGTTCATTCTGAACTAATAGAACTGTTGAGATACTACTATATAAGTTTTATTTATTCTAATATGTCCAGTTATTAGTATATTATAAAATTCAAACAATATTTTTGCCTTCAAGTTTTTATTATCAGATATAGCTAAGTGACTGGTATTCTTCAAATAAATTAATTCATTTTTTAATTTAAAGTTCTTTACTTTGATTTATTACTTTAGATTAGTATTATTATAGTTCTTCAAGACTTCATATATTTCTACAAAATATTTATCTGCTTGATATTTCTTTATTAAATCCTCTTTTTCTATCAGATTAATAATAACAACTAAAATATTTGCTAGATATGATTAATGTGATAGTACATCTGCTACTATATTATTTTTATTAGGTTTGTACTTGACTTTAAAATTACTGATCTATAAAATCTCTAACTAGTAAGCTTTTCTCTTTGAAAGGTTATATTGTGTTTTGATATATTTTAAAGAGATATAATCTGTGATAACTATAAATTTCTGTCCCTCTAAATATAGCTTCCAAAGTCTAATAATATGTACAATTATAAGTAACTCTTTTTCATGAATCAGATAGTTTTGTTTTACAGGTAAAAGTTTTCTTGATTCAAAAGCTATAGGTTGATTATTCTTGACTTGGTTTTGACTTAATATAGCTCCTATGATAAAATCTAAGACATCTGTAATAATTGTGAATAATAATTTTAGATCAGATAATAATAAGACTGATTCTAATATGAGATGTTGCTTTAGTTATTCAAAAGCTTGTTGCACTATTATAGACTATTTATACTCATGATCTTTGTGTAGAAGTGTTATAAGTGATAATGCTATTGCTGAAAAATCTTTCACAAATTTTCTATAATAAATTGCAAGATCTAAAAATGAATGAAGTTTTATATATTTATTAGTACTGGTTAATCTTTAATAGTAGCAATTTTTCTTTAATCAACAGAAATACTATCTGCTGAGATAAAATATTCAAGATATTCTATATACTGCTAAATAATATCACACTTCTTTTACTTGACATATAATTTGTATTTGCGAAGTATTTCTAAAACAATCTGCAAGTATTGAATATATTTTTTTTTTATTTTACTATATATCAGAATAACATCTAGGTATATAATTATAAATTTATTAAGATAATCATGAAATATATTATTTATCAGCATTATGAAGGTGATAGGTATATTAGTGAGTTCAAAAGGTAGAATCAAGAACTTATAGTATTTGTAATGAGTTCTAAATAATATCTTATAACTATCTTCTTCTGCAATACAAATTTGGTGATATCCTGAATACAAATCTAGCTTTGAAAAGTATTTTAAATCTGAGAGTCTGTCTATCAACTTATTAACTCTTGATAAGGAATAGCATTCTTAATAGTGATTTTGTTTAAAGCTTTATAGTTAATATATAATCTTAATATATCTTCTTTCTTGTATATAAAAGAACTGGTACTCCAAAAGGTGAAACACTAAGGTAAATGAAACCTTTTTGAATAAGATTAGCTATTTACTTCTTGAACTCATCTATTTCTGTGAAAAAAAATCTGTAGATGGATCTGGATGATGGTTCAGATCCTGAAATGAGTTCAATTTTATAATCAATTGTTCTTTTAGGTAGTAACTAATTTGTAAGATTTCTGGAAATACATCTTGAAATTTTCTTTTAATATCTAATACTTCTGATAAAAGTAATCTTTCTTCTACTTCTTCTTTATCTTTAGCATTGTTGAAATATATAGTGCATCTGCTAGTATATTTGCAATTTATTATCTTGAAATATATATTGAATTGCAGCTGGAACCTGACTTTATTTCATTATCAGCTTGTACTTTAATTGTTTTGACCTATAGGTAAAGATAATAATATTATTTCTCCAGTTTATAATTGGGTTGATGTGAAATAATCAAGATTTATCTAGGATGAGATTATTTCTTTGTAACTTCAAGACTTGTGCATTTATCTTGTGCATTCTATAAGTATCTAATTTCAGTTTATCAATCTTTATCATGATAGTGGCAGTAATCTTTTTGCCATCTGCATGTTCAACTGTAACTGGTGTAGTCTTTTGTAACTTAACTCTATTCTTCTGAACAAATTTCTCATTAACAAAGTTTCTAGATGCATCACTATCTAGCAAAACTCATACTGGTTTGCCATTAACTTTCCATTAAATTTTAACAATCTTTCTCTATTATTTTCAAGATGAGCAAACTCAACTCTTTCATATGATTATGAAGATTCTTCTTGTTTATCTTTAATATTTACAATCTTTGCCTTTGGTTTGGAATAATAATTCTTGGTGAAGTGACCTTAATTACTATTACGGTGAGTGTTTAGTTCACAATACTCATGATTATAGTAAATATTACAATTATTAAACAAGATGATTTCTACTGAGATGACTTTTTTTATATCACAAGCGAATATATAGCGACGAATTGTTTAGCGGAGATAGATATTAATAATCAAAATTGTTAAAGGAGATAAAATATATAAATTATTCGAATGAATTCCTTTTGAAATATCATTGAATATCTTATAAACAGCATGTTATAAAGCAATTCTGGTTGAATGGATAAATTCCTAGATGGAATAAAAAAGCAAATTACAAAGATAGTGTGAATTATGCAAAAGATAATGATCTCTTAAATGTATATTAATTCCAGCTACGAAAAATAACTTAGAATCAAAAATTGAAATATTTATCGATATTATCGACAATCTGGAATATATTCTGATTTTGAACTTAGCATTACAAATAATATAGAAAGGTTTAGACAAGAAATTTGTGGAGTGCTTCCTTATATGAGTCACAAGGTACATGTAATATATTGGAAACGCGACAGATATTTATAGTTTTGCATGGATATGTACGAGGTTGTAATAGGTGAATAATCATTCAGTGAGAAAGCTATGAAAATGATATTGTATTTAATATTTATAAAGGGAGTACGACAAATACTATTCCCAGTCCTAAGTTGTTCTTAAAAAATGTTGGGATGCACATTCCTGAAGACAGATCAACTGCTGAGAACTTTCCGGCTTTATCTTTTCTATCTTCTATGATAATGTTTATCGGGAACCGAACACATGCACTTTACATTTTCCGGATACAGCTCTTTAGAATATCCTAAAACAGAAGTTATAAAGGATTTAGAAAAAAGATATTATTGATAAATAAAAACAATAAATCCACTTGAATGCAATTTACACGATTAAATGTTTATTTAGAAATTAATATCAATCCAAACTCACATTATATAATCCTATCGATTTTCAAATTATAAATCTTAAGTATGATGTAAAACTAATAGATGTTTGCTATCATCTATGCCTACTTAAAAAGGAAAAATTAAAAAAGAAATAACGATAACGACAACAATGTTTTCCATATCGGGTAATAATATCGTGATGTTGTTGACTGAAGTCACCCTCATTGGGAACTATAAGGACACCAATTGCATTTGAAGGTATCGTGACATAGCCACTTCTAGTTCACGAACGAATTTAGGACAAAGAATATCGTATTTAATAAAAAATGAATCCTTGTGTCATTATTGTCAAGATAAAATAATATATAGAATATATAAACTAGATAACAAGACTATCTATTTAAACTTGAATATTATTTATATATGAAAAAATATAATTAATATATATAAGTATCTTAGAATAATGTTCAAAATGTGGTCACAATGCGCTTTCTATTATTTTATCATGTTATCCTATTCACCACAACCCCAAATCCAACATTTGATGTCACTTTTTTGGAGAACCTTCAATGCAAACATGTGGTCCGAGGTGCTTGCAATTCTCCTAATGGCAGCGTAACTTCAGATAACATACTCGTGAAAATTTTCACCTTATTCGATGCCTACATTTCTTAAATTTCCCGCTCAAACTCAATGCCCCCCCCCCCCCCTTAAATAGGGAGAGCTCATGATTATTGTTTAGCGTGTTTTTTGGTGAAAGAATGAGAGAGAGAAATAAAAGTAAACGACTAAGGAAAAAATTTAATTGTTTAATTAGTTTTTACTTTGCTTTCAGATCTCTACCATTTTTTCTTATTCACCGGCAAATAGTTATCACTTCGTCAAGTTAATTCCTCCCCAATTTTCGTTTGTGGATAATATTGTTTTCGAAACTTTTACTGGTAGCGTCACCTCTTTGATTGAAGCGTCTTGATAATATTTACGGGCTCATCAGCAAAATCTTGTTCGAAGAAACATAGCGTTAGATTTTTAATACCGATACGGACTATTTATATAAGATTTAATTCACATGCTACATGTAATTATTTTTGTATCCATTATTTTCCCATTCTTAGAAATTATATTATAACGATAGTGATATAATTTTTTGTTCATAACTTTTATTATTTAATTCCGAGAACATTGCATTTTGCAACATTTTTTACGCACGCAATGTAATTGTTTTTTATGTTTTTAGAACTAGTACTAGTAATACAGTTACCATTGATATGGTATGCTCATTTGTAAATTACAAGTATAAATTAAAAATAAATGCTACCCAATGAAAAACACGAAATACTGAATTGAAATGTCATGATTAAAAAAAATGAATTCTCCCCTTTCACGTTTTATTAGGAAATGAAGATAACGACGATTTCTCAATGACCTTTTTAACATCAAAAGCCAACGGAATTCGTAACTCCCACTTGTAAACATACTCATCATTGACGCTGGTCGACGTAACTTTATAAGTTAGACCAGGCCGAAGTTGCATCAAATGTTTTCCAATCACTTCACCAAAATGTTCAGAAATCGGCGACCCGATTTGCCAATAAGGTCTTACAATTGGCGTCACGGTAGTCAAATCGGGCACTACAGAAAATAACGAAAAGTTGAAAACCGGGAACAAAATGGTGATCCGACGTCTAAAATGTCGTTCCATTTCCTTGATAACAGCAACAAACATTTCCGTGAATTCGTCCAGTGATCTTGCGGCATCTTCAATGCTAAATTCTCTGGTCTCGATGGTTTGAGGTGCGAATGGAATTTGAAAAAAATCTAACTCTCGTTCAATTTCTTTGCGTGCAATGACGCTTTGTGAATAAACAACAGGCCAATCAATTTCACCATTACGATAGAATTCCATTATATAATGAAAAGCTCGTCCATTTCGATCGAAAAAGTATTCGTTCTTATTAGTTGCGTGCTGTAATTCTCGGTTTCTATCTTGAAACATTGTTCCAAGTAGTGTATCTGGGTAAGCTGTAAGTGTGCTTCTGAATGTTTCATACTTGTTGATTTTAAAAATACGAAAAATCATTACATCTTTCAATTAAGAAAATCAGAATTGAACTTATAAAAATTTTACCTTAACACCACCAATATTCAAAACAATGCGATCACTACGATTGGCGTTAGTATTATCGTTATTATTTTTTTGCATGTGGAATTCCTATTAAAGTGGGAAACTAACTTTACGTAATGTTGTTGTTTCCTTCTCCCCATTTTTAAGTATTACAAGATCATGTGATCACACCGTGTAATCTAATTACATGTACATGATGTCACGATGTCCGGAAGATTGGGTCGGTGATCGCATAATGGTAATACTGATTGATGTATTGTAGCAAAAGAATATCGGTACTACTTCTCTAATCACTAGCTGCTAATGAATAGTAGTCAAGTACTTTATTGAGTATAACGAAACATTGTGAAAATATTTAGCAGTTAAACCTCGATATAACGAACTCGCGATATAATGAAATTTATTTTCAGTCTTTTTATAAATAAGCTTGATATAATGAAACTAGTTATATCGAGATTCATCAGCAGTCAATAATTAGAGAATACCATACACGATGTCGATCACCGACCCAATTTTCCGGACACCGCGACAGATTTTTACGCTGGAAGTTGCATTTTTAAAGTGTGGAATCAAATAATTCACAATACTCAAAATGTACTCGTAGTCAAGAAAATCCGAACTGCTATGGATGCTTCCAATGTCACAAACGATGAATTATAAAGATGTCGACAATCTAATAAGTATGCTAAATTATTTAAATGGATTCCTCTTGAAAGATTTATCAACGTTGAATATCTTTCAAAAAGAATTTATAAAGTAACCTGATTGGATGGACCATTAAACAAATATGTTATTAAATAGGACATGAAGAAAAAAGTTTATACGCGAGGTAAAAAAATTAAACTTTTCTTGTTTTCTAATACAATCAAGTTTTATAAATGCACTGATAATTTTTGAATATTATGGAATAACAAGAATCCTTACAAATGGATATTCGATAGTGATGACTTATACAAAACTTATACAAAAGATGGTGATTTCCGTAAGTATATTAATTCTAACTACGAAAAATTGGCTTGGTATTATCAATTTTGGGCTTGACTACCTTGGAAATGTGATTTTCTTTTCTTGGATTGATGCCATGAATTTGTTGACATACTATAAAAATTAAATAAAATATCCCATATAAATCATGTAAAATTCCGGATGCAATTTTCCCGTAGGGGATATCATGCAGTTAAATTGTTATTAGAAAAACGTTTTTACAGATACTACATCATGTGCTGGTATTTTCAATCACTGAGGTATCGGAGATATCCAGTACGCGAAAAAATATTGTCTGTTACGTGATGTCTATCTAGGCCATCAAGTATTAGAATTGAGTTCGAGTAAAGTTATTATGCAAAATTGCCTTTTTACATTTAGATATCTGTTTTCGTTTTCATTTTTTGCCGGCTGATCAAAAAATTTGCTACATTCTTATTGGTTGCGAAAAATTTTGCGGATTCAGATACAGGTACAATGATTTATGCAAATTGACATAAAACTGCATAATAGAAGTTAATAATGCATAATTAAGCATTTATTTCCTATGATATTTTAATTCTTCACTTCACATATGTACTATGATTAAGCATAATTATAATTTTTAATGCAGAATTGGCACATACATGTAATTATAAACGTTTATGTACATTAAAACGTATAATATCGCACTATAAAAATCATATATCGATCGATATGATCTTTATCATACGTTGATAGAATGATCAATTCTGTTAATTATTGCTTAAAAAGTAGCACGATAACGATAATAATTGTTCTAAATGTGCCAAATGTGGAGAATGCGCTAATTTGGCACAATTTCGGAAAATCTGATTAGATTCAAAACCGATCATTAACGTTAACGTTAAAGTGCGTGACATCGACATGTGCAAAGTTTATTGTTATCACGACAATGACTTATTACGCACAATATAAAAATTCATTAATTCATTTTACTTTTTCACTGTAATTAATTCATTTTTAATGAAAACGAACTCGTTTTAGGAATATGGATAACAATTGTAGTGAATGAATGTCCACTCTGTGTCAATGATTATTGCTGCAAAGAATTCAAAATAGTACGATATTTTGTAAAGACGTTTTATTTTCGTTATAAATTATAGCTTTGATACAACACTGAATAAAGTTCGTGATTTAACGCTGCACTGCATAATACATGTAATAATCTGCAGTAATAAATTGAATGCATACACCGCCCCTGTTTCTCTTGATCTCATAGTGTTTTTTCAGGAAAATAATGAAGAAATACGTCGTTTTCTTACTTCTTGCTACTCTATGCTCGCCAATTTCCAGCGATTATTCCCCCAGTGGATTTACCGGTGGTTTCCCTTTTTTAACTGAATCACAACCCGTTGATCATGTAAATAATTGTTCAAATACTCGAGCAGGTGAATTAATGCAATTCACATTAGATCTAGTAAACGCAGAGTACGAGAACTCTTCTGAACCATGTGTGCATAGGAATGAGGGACCAGGTCAGTAAATAGTAATTATGAATGAAGAAAGTCTTTTTATAGATTTAAAGCTAATTCTTGTTACACGTCGCTCTTTTAGGAATCCTTGGGGTTCCTTCGACTTCTAGAGCGTATCGTTCTGTTGCTGTTGGCATGTATAATATTTGGTAAACTTTCTCCCACGTTTTAATCACAGCCCAGACTATAAATATTTGCGTAATGTGATCTCTTAATACAATTTTTTAAACAACTAGGGCCAAATTTGATTCAACCGCCGTTACTACATTTTATCGCAACGATCCCTTCCCCAGACTACAAGGTACAGAGCAGCGAAAACAACAGATGATCACCTACGCTACTTTCTATGTGCTTCAGTACCTTCTACCCGAAGGCGTGCAACGCAACAACACAATGCAGTTGTTCAACTTCAGATACAATACCGACTTTAATTCGACTGACGCAAAACTTGCCCAAAATATTACCGAAAGACTTATTGCACAATTAAAAGTGGATGGCTTTAACCAAGAAGGATGCTATGCTGATACTACGGGATATAGATCATCGTATGTTGTTAAAGTATCTATTACGCATTTTGTAAATTCTTCGTCTTACTTTACTAATCAATATTCTGCTTATAGTAATCCACCAACAGATTTAACAAATAGCAGCACAATTGATGCTTCCCGCTTGATTCAAAAAAAAAAGTACCACTGGTCACAGGAAATTCGTGATGATGATGTTCCTAAGCCGCGTCCATTTAGCGATCCACAGGCATCTAAAGGCAAACCTTTCATCTCACCCAAGTTACTTAAATCACTGTTACCTCCAAAACCAAACTTTACAATATTTGATGCGCAATACCAAAATGTTGCAGAGGTTGTACTTAATGACACAAAGAAAATCATTGTTGAATACTGGGCTGAAATACCAACTTGGCAATGGTTTGCGATACAAGTGATTATTCGAAAGTGCTATAATTTGGATGAAGCTGTGAAGCTATTGTTTGCAGTTTCAAACGCTGTTTACGATGCAGTCATTGCTGTTTGGATTGTAAGCATCCACAAGGGTTCAATTGCTGTAATGATTTAAGATCAATAACTGATGTGATATAAATTTTTTTTAGAGTAAACGCATGTATGACACAGCACGGCCATCTACTTTCATTCCAGAATATCTCCCTAATCTCACCCTTCGTGATGCATTCCTAGGTTACTATTGTGGCTATGGTAATATTAGTGGCGAACTGTGGCAACCATATCAGGCCAAGAAGTTTATCACACCACCATTCCCAGGTTATGTTTCTGGGCATGCTACCATGAGCCGAACTGCAGCGGAAGTTCTGCGTCTCTTCACTGGATCAAACACCATTCCCGGGGGACCTTTCCAGTATGAATATATATTATTTATAGTCATTTGCGATTTTTAGATCCTCGCGTTAGGTTGATTTACATCCTTGTTTGGTTATTCTTTGTTAGATTTACTACTCCAAAAGGTGAATCATTCTATGAACCGTTCTGCGATCATAACAATAAAACTCGATCTGGAGCATCTTGCACCTTTATGACATGCAAAGTTAATCCGAGTTTAAACTCAGAAAACAATTTCACTCCAAAAGAAAATATAACTCTTAAGTGGTTCAAGTTCACGTAAGTTTTATGGTTGGCTAGTATATTGTATTTCGGAACAGTTTAATCATACAGACATGAAAATTATTATTTTTATATACAGAGATCTATCAGATGATGCTAGTCAGTCACGACTTTATGCTGGGGTTCATATCGATGTTGATGCTCTCCAGGTAACTATGTTACTTTATGAGACTCAATTCGAAGATCTTTACTGATATTGTGCAAATAATTATAATAGGGCGTTGAAGTAGGCAAAAAACTAGGACCCGAAGTTTGGAATACTGTGCAAAAATACATTGCAGGTTGTGTTTGAGATCACAAAAAATTTATTTATTATTATTATATGTACATGTAATAATAATAAATTGATGTAGAAAATTTTAACGCTAGAAAACTTTTATTTATTAAATATATATAAAAATACACTAAAGAATATATTTTTACAAATAAATTATCTAATAAAAAATCTAACAAAAACACAAGTTGATTGTTAGAGAAAAATTATCAAGTTTGAAAAACTAGAGATTGGCAAACTTTCTCGCGAATTTTTATTTGAAATAAGATATCCAGATGAATTCTGGTTAAACTTTTTCATCCCTGTTTACTTTATTTTGTCGTTAGTCTTTTAATATAAAAGTAGCTAAAGCTTCAAACTCAAATGGTTCATCTATATCCCTCATATTGCTTTAATCCATGTATCTTGTAAAGAAAAAGATTAATTTAACGTTAAATCAATATTACATGTAGTTCATCTTGTGATCCGTTTATAAAAATTTTAACTGGATGAATCACATAGATACGAAAAATTTATTGATATACTTTTGTATCAAAATACATTCATATTCACATCTATTTTTGATGAATTCTTCAAGAAACACGGTTATCTTTTCTATATATTCAAGCAATCTCTAAAATCATACTTTCTCCAATTCCAGATATATAAGTATAAATCTTTACACAGTTATAATTTTTTAAATTACAATTAAACTTTTTGCTATTTCTGGAAATGTAAATATATAAAGAGTTAGTTATATCTATTTATAATTATATTTTTTATAATCAAATTATCAATTTATAGTTGTTTTTATATTTTTAATAAAAAGTATACTGATATTTCAAAAATTAAATATATTAATATTTTTTTAATAAAAATAACTTGAAATTTTCGCATTACTAATTATATCTTATTTAAATTTTAATAATAAGAATTAAACTATAAGAGATATATTATATACTATGTATAAAATATACATTCAAAAAATTTTTAATTTTATAAAAATAATTAAAATAAAAAATATATATTAATACTTATAACATATTAATTAACAAATAGTTTATTTATTTAAAAAGTATACAGTCAGCAACTAAAAACTTAATTTCTTAAATTTATTATAATTCAACAAAAAATTATTTAAAAAATATAAAACTTTTGTATATTCAATAATATCTATTAAAAAGTTTACTTAAAAAATTAATTAAAAAAATAATATCAATATTATTTAGTAAATTGGTTTAAGTTAAAAAATTAATAATTGAAGTTTTTATTCGAATATTACTAAAAATTTTTATAATTTAATAAATAAACTTAAGAATAATATATAAAATAATATATTAATTAAAATTTTTTGAACTTTAATATAAATTGTAAATTATTTTATTAATAGTTATAAACAAGATAAAATGTGATATGAATAGTTTCAATTAATAAACTTATAATTTTATTATTTGAATGATATTCAGATTTGATGTTATTTTACAGAACAGATAGAACTTATTTATAAGAAAAAGAAATGAATACAAATATAAATAAATTAATAATAATTTCTATTTTAAAATATATATGTATTAAATATAATTAATTAATTTAATTCATATTTTCAAAGGATAACTAATCATAATTCAATAATATAAATAATAATATAAATATAATAAAGAAAAAAACAAATTAAAATGATAAGAAAATATTAATTAAAAACTAATTAAAAATATTAATAATCTAAATTAATAATTATAATATATATAATAATTATCTGTGTAATAATATGTAAAATCTTAGATAATTAAATATATAGATAAATATCTATATATCCAATATAAAAATAATCTTTAAGAAAAGTATTATAAAAGTTAATTTGTTAAATAAAAATTAAAATATTTATTAATAAATTATAAAGTTTAATATAAAGAAAAATTTTAATTTTATTAAAAATTTAATTTTTTAATATATAATCTATAACTTTTATTATATACTTAAAATTAAATTTATTAATAAAATATAATTAATTAAAATTTATAATTTTATCAATAAATATTTTATTTTAATTTAAAATATGATTTTATATTTTATAAATTTTTAAAGAATTGATTTAATTACAAATTTATTACCAATTTTTTTTAGTTAATTTATATTTAATTAGAAAAGATTTTTAGAATTAGAATAATTTTTAAGTAAAATTAAAAAAATATTAAATTAAAAATATAGTAATAACCAAAGTCAATATATTAAATATTTAAATTTATTAATAAAATACATAATTTAATAGAAAAAAAATTATATTTTAATATAAAAATTATTAATTATTTCTAATAAAAATTATTTAAATTTTAACTAATTTTTATAACTTTTTTATATTAAATAAAAAATATATTATTTTAATTATTCTATTATACTTTATAAATAAAGTATTACTTTATTAAAATAAAATTATTTTTAAAAAAAATATTTTAAATATTATTACTATTAATTTGCAGAATATTAAGACTTAAATTATGTAAATTATCTAAGATTTGATAAATATATATTTTAAATTTTATAAAAATTGAATTAGTAATTATAGATATTAAGATTTAAAGTTTAGTAATTAAATTATTTATTATATAATTTTTATATTAATTTTAATCAAATTTTATAT